CTACGATCATCTCTGACAATGCTAGAAGTTAACCTCGGCTAAGCCTTGACCAACTTCAGTGTTGGGAAGGAATATCGATAAATTGTTTAAATAATCAAAATGCATTTTAATTATTACCGACCAGAATAGTTAATAAAATTTAAATTTAGAAGATATATATGCTAGCTATCGTGTTTGTTTCTTTGGTTGGGAGCCTTATGTAAGTGAAAGAAGTATGCCTATAAATAATAACAATAAAATATGATAGTTACATGAACAGTGTTAGCCAAGGAGTTATACGTGCAATTCCCAACAGGTTGTGATTACGAACTCAAGCTGTCCACAAATGGATTGTTATTTTTGGATTAAAACAAACTTGTACGGTGAGGAAAATAATCGCGGAGAAACTAAAATATTTATGACACAAACGGCTGATGCCAGCTGATTGAGAAAATTAAAAAAACAGAGGCACAAACATGTCTGTGCCATTGCAGGGTTCATATGATATTAGTATATAAAATCAGTTATACTAATTATATATGCAGGAATATCTTAAATAAAATCAGTCACGAACATTGTGCACAGCATTTTAAAATCACGTATGGGTAACGGTAATGTATAATTTATCAAGAGCAATTTAGATCTGTATGTCAATAACAGCCTACATGCAAATTTAATCACATAGTTTCACCATCATACTTAATTATGATTGTTTTAATTTATATAACAATGCATTTGGGACAGCGGGGCACTTTCATCGACCAAATCTGTCGATCACGTATCACAACACTATTTTCGAATATACCGTGCCGTCTGAAACAATGTAACTTTTATGTATTATGAATTTTAATTGCTATAAACTAGTTCGTAAATTGAGAAGCTGAAATAGATTCCATTTCCATTTGCTGTCAATCTTTTATTACTTTATTTGAGTAAAAGCAGTACAAAAACATTTGTTTTATATTTATTAAATTCGTCTTTAACATTTTTATGCAACTTATGAATACTTCATGAAGCTGCAAAAATGGCAATGAGATATTTACCAACAGTTGAAGAAAGGGAAACAATAAAAACTATTTGTCTTTTGTTTTCAAGTTTTTTTTATCATCATAATTTTATTGAAGTGTGTTGTGTTTTCCATGTCCGTTTTTCAAGTGATTTAAACAAAACCCAAGGCAAATATAGTCAAGAATAATTCAAAAACCTTTGCAGTGTATTTAGGCTTAAAGGTGAAGGCCAATAAGACTTCGTGGCATTAATAGTACATATAAAATTAGAGAATATAAATTATTAGGGAGGCAACGCGAGGCCTAACCAAGCGATCTCTTCTAGCCTGTGCAAAAATGCGTAAGTAAGTAACAAAAATAAAATTACAGATAATACATGGTTACTTGTAATTTCAAATTTACTAGACTAAAATTTAAAAAAAAACTGAAAGCATGAGCATTTTTGATTCACAAATAACGACTAACGTTTCAATATCAAGTATATTTTCTTTAGAGAGCTGCTGCTCGAGCAAAGAACTAAATTCTAGTAAATATAAACTTCTTAAGTAATGAGCTATCGTGTTGAATGCAATATTCAAAGAAATCGTTCCCAGTAGAGCGTCGAAGTCTGAATGCAACTTGACGTTTCATAATTAATGGTATTTATTTGCATTGAATCCGTATACATTCCTTTATTCAGGCTAGCGTGAGAAGTGAAAGATTAAGCAAATCGTAATAAATTATTAACTGAGGAAAAAACTTATAATGGAACCATGAAGTTTTAATTACATAGGTTATATAGTAATATACCTATAACTATTATACATAGTTCACCTGTGTTGGAAATTATTATTACTTTTATTTATTTACACTTTGTTGCATTACAATATAAAAATTTAACATAATTAAATATAAAGGTGGGCAACTGGCGGCCTTATCGCTTTCGAGCGATCTCTTCCAGGCAACCACTGTGAGAAAAGAAAAAATGTATTAAATAAAATGAGGTAGGCAATACGAGTAAGTGCTAAAATGCATATTACATATAGTTATTAAGCAAAATAAAAAGTGCACATGAATCATAATAATTTAGTTTAAGATCAGTCTCACGTCAATTAGTAGTTAGTACGAAAGTTACATTATATTATCACGACTTTTTCCCAAAGGGGTACGCAAACACCATGTATCTCCACTTGCTGCTATCCTAACATACATTTCGCGCCTCATCCACTTTCATGGCATTCACTATGCATTAATCGTCGGTTATGGTTACTATTTACTTCCCCTTTCTCTAGTACCTCCTGGAGTTGGTCCAGGTATAACAAGGCCTAACCAACCCGACTTCACCATCCACGGTTGCCTTATATATCCTACTTGTGTGTATGTATAACTGCTTCTCATTCACCCGTTCTACATGGCCACACCACCTAAACATTTCTCTTTCGTATCTTTGCCATTACGTCCTCTGCAGTGTGGGTTAAATAATATTATGATAAAACAAACTATTTCAAAATTGATATTACTCAATAATAAAGTATCGTGAGGCAATAATTAAATAATTCAACGAGTGTATAATGAAAAGGCAGTAATAAAAAGTTTATAATCTATGGCTATTTAGCGAAGCACTGTGGTTAGGAGAGATAAGCGACGATTAAACGTTCCGTTCCACGCTAAGCCTAAACTTCTAGTATAGAATAACTTCTTACAAACTTTGTTGTAAGATGTTTTAATCATTCAAATCAAAGCACGTCGTGATGTTTGTATGTAGATAACATTAATTAATGACTGTTAATCGTGATCAAATCTACATTTACTGTTTGTTGACCCTTATAACGATAGTCCTACTTCTGTGTAGTTTGAATCTATTTCGTTTGGTTATGTTTTAATTCATTAGTTTATTTTTGCTTAGTTTGCCAAAAGCTTTTATAAAAATTACAAAACCAAATGTATTAAAAGTAAGTAAAAATACCAATAAAATTGCCATGAATAACACATACACTCAAGCATTTACGCTGCACTCTCGCGATTTTAATAGTTATTTTTGTCGCTATTCAAATCATCATAAGACCGTAGTATTTTAAATAAATTATGTATTTTACATATTATTTAAACGTAACAAGTACGGTAACAAGAATTTGTTGCAAAAACGTGCAAGCGATCCACGCGCTTTTGGTAATTGATTTCATACTTGCTTCACCCTTTAACCGGCGAACTGATGTTCGCAATTTCCTATTGGGATAGTAAGTTGCTAACGTTCTATCCCGAGTGCATTTTAACTTAAAGTTTATCACATCACATTGCTTGTATAGTGTACATAATTGTATACAGCAGGTGCCTTACAATTTTCGAAGAAATATGAGACGTATTAAAAATCCCATCATCAAACATTCTCAGAAAGTCAAACACAACATACCACAGTGAATAACAATGAATGCTTAAAATCGAAAGCCTACCGGAAGCGAGGTGAGAACAAACATTCAAACATATTGTAGATATTGGTTATGTAATGTTCTGTCTTTACAATGTCTTTAGATTATATCATAGTAATGTGTGTTAGTAATTGCTTAACTTCGTAATTGTATTCGAGTTATGGTGTTCAGTAAGTAGCGTGTGAAAATCAGATGAACGAGATAAAATGATGTACCGAAGTATTACCGTGGCTTAGTCGTTAAAGCTTATGGCGAAATTATACAAAATAGACGCAAGTTAGTCTGTCCTTCAAGGGGTCACAAGGTTCAGTTAAAAAAAATACATGTGCACAAAGTTAATCAATTTTTGACTTAAGGGAGTCATTGTTTTCGTATCTTTCCCTTAATTCAGTGTTAGTACAAGCTTCAATTTAAAGTTACTTGCTTTATCATATATTATCATTCGCTCGAACGGCAAAGGAAAACATCGTGAGGAAACCGGCTTGCTCTAGACTTAAAAACTTGACGGCGTATGTCAGGCACAGGAGGCTGATCACCTACTTGCCTATTAGATTGACAAATGATCATGAAACAGATAAAGAAATCTGAGGTAGATCTAAAAAAAGGTTGTAGTGCCACTGAATTATTTTATTTTTTGCTTTGTCATAACTACTGGGAATCGAACTGAATACATTTTATTTTCCCTCGGACAACAAGGAAATGGTAAACAAGTAGTTTAATTACAATTGTGAGAGTCATGTTGAGGAAATGACTGCAATTTAATTGTTAAGAAGTTATTGAATTGTGATTGATGTCTTTGTTATATCAACGAGACAGGTGTTAGAAAAGAAAATATGTTATATGAAGAACTTATCATATGATGATCTTGGTCTTGTTAGACAATACTGATATTTAGGTTGTCTTACGAAGCTCTTAAGCTTGGTACAACAATACATTTCCTAGGTTTACTTTAAGGTAACTCGCCCTTATTCAAAACAAATATATCAGTCTGTTGCTGAATATATCAGATTCAACTGAAATAGTCATCACTCTTTTCAATACAGTGTAAACACTATTTAACAGAAAGAGATGAAATAATAAATGAATGTATGAACGAAGCCTTTATATCAAGCAACCAAGTTACTTTATAGCGAATCTTATGAATTCACATATTTTGATATTAATAATGTAATTAATCTACTCAATCTTCTTCGGTGTTTGCTTGTCTTCCGACAAGCCTGCTCCGGGTTTTTCCCCTGTAGTCCTGGGCTGTCCTTCTCCATTGGGCCTGCTACTTTTTTAGGATCATTATCCAATCGGATCAATGGTCTTCCGCGGTTTCTTTTGTCTTGTCTTGGATACCATTCTACAATATCTTTAGTCCTTTTTTTTTTTTTTTTTTTTTTATACGAGGTGAAAATGCGCTTACGCAGGCCCGCATCAACGATGTCGAGCTTGACGCGGGGACTGTGGGGCTGGGTCTACACTCAAAACCCTCTGCTATTCAGAGGGATAGCGAGACCCCACCCACTAAAAACACCTCAGCCCTTCACACGTCCTTAATATGGGCCCTCGTGGTTCGCTAGGCATTCTACCCAAGGGACTCGGGCTTATATCCGACATAGAGGGCTCATTCAAGACCTGCGGTTCCGGGCCACTCGAGGACGAGCCCCAGCCTTGAACTACCGGTTAGTCTACGATCATCCCCAGACCTTTCCCTCAATCGCTCAGCTGCCTCCTTCTGCAGCATTACATGCTCACAGAAGGTAACCATTGCACTCCAGGCCTCCTCACTTCCTAACATAGCTAAAATAATACCCGGTAAAGAGAGGTCCGACCCTATGACCGATACCAGGTCATGACGCTCCCTTGTCCAGGTGACACACTCAGCCACAGTATGCTCCGCCGTGTCATTTGGAGCGCCGCAATGGTGGCACAACGGATGCACCTTCCTTCTAGGCACCTTATGCAGATACCGCCCAAAGCATCCATGGCCAGACAGTACCTGCGAAAGCCGAAACGTCACAGCACCCCAACGCCTATTCACCCAGTCTTTTAAGACTGGGCGAATTGCCCCTATTGTCAATGCACCAGCGCGGGGCGTTGCTAGATCGTCAAACCACCTTTCGAAAAGAATTTCTCTGGCATGACGCCTCATATGCCCCGCTATTTCCCCCCACGTGACGTTCTCGTTAAATATTACCTCGGCCTTCGCACGGTATAAGGCAGCGATAAGTTCCACCTCCCGCTCCCAAGGAGGAGTACCAGCTAACACACAGGCCACCTCGAACGATACGGTACGGTAGCAGCGAGCTGCCCGAACCGCAATCACTCGTTGCGGCCTCCGTATAAGCATACGGTTCGTCCGCCTGATCAGCGCGTCGTCCCAAATGGGGGCCCCGTACAGGGCCATACTGCGAATGATTCCGCAGTACAGCCGGCGCACGCTCTGGCATGGGCCTCCAAGATTAGGCAAGAGCTTGCCAAGTGCTCCTGCCGCCCTAACAAGTCTCCCCTCGAGAGATTTAAAATGGGGCTCGAAATTCCAGTGACCATCTAAAACAAGACCAAGATACTTCATGGAGGAGGCCACTGAAATCCTAACGCCTTCAACCACCAATGCCGCCCCCGAAGGAGGACCCATCCTCGGGCCATGAAATAGCAGGGCTTCCGTTTTGTCAAGGGACACCCTGAGACCCAGGGCTTGGATCCGCCCAACAACCAGCCTAGTACCGGCCATCGCAAGCTGAGCCACCTCCCCAAATGACCCTCCCAGGAAGCAGTGCACCTCGCAGCACCCAATCATAGCTAATATTCCACAGAAACGGTCCCAGAACTGATCCCTGTGGAACCCCGTACAACACCGGATGGCGAACGATTTAACCCTGTCCGTTCACAACTGCCACCTGTCGTCCTTCCAAATAGCTCCCTACTATTCGGCGCAAGTACAGGGGAACCCCGAAAAATTCAAGGGCCTCCCTGATCACGCCAAATGGAAGGCTATTAAAGGCATTAGCAATGTCAAGAGACACTGCCAACGCCCTCCCACCCCGCTCGACTACTCTCTTGGTGTACTGTTTTAGGTCCATGAGAGCATCGATCGTAGAGCGTCCAGCCCGGAAGCCATATTGGGCCTCGTCCAGGTCCGGCCCCACGATCGAGAGGTGACGGCCCAAACGAGAGGCAATAATCCACTCCAACGCCTTACCAGCTTCGTCTAAGAGAATTATGGGCCGGTAAGCTCCAGGGCTGTTCGGCGCACGACCTTCTTTTCGGATGAGACACAATTGGCCTTCCTTCCATGCCGTCGGGAACCGTCCACTACGTAAACATAAGTCAAACAGACCCCGAATGGTTTCCCCCATGTAAGGAAAAGTTACCGCCAGGACCCTAGCATGCAAGCCATCTGGGCCTGGTGCCTTCTTTCTGCTCTTCAGGCGACAAAGTATGGACTCTATTTCGGAGTCAGTCACCTCAGGAGCTTGCTCTCTATCGACGTCCCCATCCACCACCGAGGTCACCATTCTCGGAGGGACGATGTTCGGAGGCAGAGGGAAAAGCCCCGAAATCACCCTATCAAGCAAGGCGGGCTCAAGAGTCTCCGTTAGGGGAGCCCCTGCGCCCTTTAGCCTTTTCCGAGCTGCTTGGTAAGGGCGAATATCTTTAGTCCTGTATTATCCCTTATCGTATGGCCTGCCCATTGCTAAATTTTTGCTAGTCTTTGCCTCGTTTTACTTCTTCATCCGTCAGGTTCTTGTGGGATATAAATTATAAGATAAAATAATACTTTAGTTATTAAAGGTGATTAAATTTTATTTTAAGCATCAGGGTTTTTGGAGTCAAATAACTTTATTATATATAAAATTCATCTTATTTCTAATTATTTTCGCAATAATCGTTTCATAACGTTAAACTTAAATGTTACTTTTGCAATTTCGTATTCAAGATATAATCTTAAATTTAATTTGCATTAATATTTTTAATTAGAATTTAAAGTACCTATAAGATTCTGCACACAACAATAATTTATAGAATGTCTTTTCTTTATGTTCATATTTATATTAAATACAAATTGTAAAACTATTTCGATTCTAATAGATAAAGGTGTGTAATCTCATTCTTTTACATTAAATTTTGTTAACCGATTATAAGTGCCATTGGAATAATTAGTTAATAATTTCCAAAATACACGTCGAATTGTACACCTGATGAGGTGAAAAAGAGAAAGAAGTTTGAAGTGGTTAAAAAGAGAGGTCTCTATGATCTAAACGAATAAATATTAAATACATACGCCGAATACAAACACCGAACTATGCCAAAGCATTTTCGAATACTTTCTAAGCAAATAAGGAGTCTATTATAATGTTATGCAACATACTTTTAGCGCCAGATAACAGGTTAAGAAGCACTCGACACTAATAAATTATTATTTACTATGATGTTAAAGGGAAATCCCAACTAGAAAAGGCGATGTTCAGATGATCTTAACCCTTATATTTACTTTCATATGTAAACACAATAATATGGTTTGTTCTTGGTTTAAAAATTTACCATCTCTGGTATTTAAAACTTTTTTTAAGTTTTGCAACATTTAAATAAGAGCACAAATTTTACATAATACACTTAAGCACGATGTACTAAGTAGAGAATTGGATAACCTATTGTTTTAACAATTACAATTTCACGGTAATAAAACGTCTATTTCAGTCTAAAGTTGTAATAAAACAACATTAGTTTTAATTTATTTTTACGTAAATTAGGTAATTTAGCTAGTAACATTTACTTTAGCTTCTGCGATCGATGCCCGGAGACCCAATACATTTTCTGGGTTTTTAGGGACAGAAGCCCGATTTTCTATAACGTATTGGATTTGACATACGAGTCATGCTTAGCCCTAAAGTCTTGACTCTAAATGTCAAAGTTATAGGAAAGTATAATTTGAGAATTTAAAAGACTTATTAAAGTTGACATTTTTGAATAATTTATTGACAGTTTGCAATTTATAACCCAGTCAATAAAGGTTATTAATGTCTTTGATGCTACCACGATTAACAACTTCCTGGTTATTTAACCATAAATTAGAAATAAAAATTAATACATAATTGTGTGCGAAAATAATTACATTTATGAAATTGTATTTTTTGTTTAAATAACGTTCTCTGTAACGGTATATTTTAAGATTAATTTATTTATACTGTTACTGGGAAGCTAAATATTTATACCGTTTTTGTCTGCATTCTTTTGTTTGTCATTAAAATTAAACTGTTACGTTAAATTGCATACAAATTGATATTTTATTGCCATTAAATAACTTTAACTTTGAATGCTTACAACCAAAATCTACAATTAATTCGCCTTCCAATAGAGGTATTTTTGTTCCGCTAGATATCCAACATCCTCCCTGTGCTTGACGCAATGTGCTACTAACTGATCTCCGGAAGTCGTTTGTACTCTAGGGCTTTACTCTTTGAGCGCTAAACTCGAAGATGGCTGGACCAATTCGAGTAATTGTTTATGTATTTCTTGAACACTGAGGAAGATTTTAGTAGTTTTAGTGAAAGAAAAATTGCACGGAAAAGTCAGTTTTGTTTTTCTGTAATTGTGATCGCAACACTGTGCCTGTGCAAAGCATTGGCGAGACTATCGCAATAAGTATAAAAAGTATAATACGCATATTACGTTCTAATTAATTTCATATGCCACATTTACGCAGTCGATTCTTAATATGGAACAATTAAACAGAAATTACATTCTCTTGAGGTTTTAACTTAAGCCTTTCCCTAATTAATTCCGTTGTGTCCCCAGACAACGAAAAATTTCATTTTATAATTAATACACGCTCGATACGTGTTACTATGAATATTAAGAGTTATCGCATATCGCGATCGCAAGCTCGGACAGTGACGGCATGTGGGAAATCTTCCAGAGATTCTGTGAAGCCGTCATGCACCATAAGGAAGAGGCGGAGAGGGCCAGGGAGAAGGATCCTGCAGCCTACCCGCGTCGCCGTAGGAGACCACAGCGTCGCCATTGCACCGTGCAACCCTGTGTGTAATCCTGGGCTCGCAGTTGCTCCAGTGGGGGAACAGGGGCTCATGCGTCCAAAAGAAGGGATGCTGACACATCCCTGCAAGCATTGTACCCGGCCTCCCCCAGCTCTATAAAACAGGATGAATTGGCCGATGTGAAAGGCCCTTGCTGTGCCAAGGTCCATTCCACATCATTCGTGGCCGTAGAGGACCGTAATATTAACGGTCGATCGCGTGGCTGGATGCGGACAAGGCTACGCTGTTACCGTGTCCTGCCCCGGGCGATTGCTGGTGGCGCCGTGGGGTTTTAGTGGGTATGCACAAGAGCGAGTCCCACATCACCCTTCCCCAGGTCAACCATGCCGCGGGAGGGTATGCGTAACGCATTTCCCCACGGAGAAAAAAAAATATCGCAATCGAATAATATGCGGATCAAATATGTATAAGTACGTGTTTAATTCTTTCACTTCGACTAAATTAATGTTTTCTATGTATTGGACGAAGCGATTCTTGCTATTGTATAATTTAATACTTGGTATTCAATGTAAGCTGTAACGCTTATAACGGTTTATTATTTTGAATAAAGTCGCATGTAAAAATTATATAAATAAAATAAAATTTATACGTTATATACTGATCGATCACCCGATGGACATCGATGGAATTAATTTTTAATTTACATGAGTATACGCAGACGATTTAATGATAATTTTAGAAATGGGAAGGAATTTTTACACCTTTTTAGTTTGTAAATAATTCTTTGAAGAAATTAGTATCTTAAAAAATTCGTATAATATTTATACTTGTAAGACGGTATCTCTAAGTTGTCACGAAAGCGAGCCGTTACTGGTTTTGTGTTTGTTCGGCTCTCTATTTGTTGTTCCCACGTCTCCTGTTGACACAGCATCCATATCATTGCCATAGCAAACTTGCTACAGATCTAATGTGTTTAAATTATCTACTGTGATCCGATGTTTTATTATGTTTTTTAGTAAAAAAATATACGAAAATCAATAGAACGAAGGCAAAATTGATTGATGGCAAAGCTTCCAGCCTGATGAATTCATATTTAAAGGGAAGGATCCAAAGAGTTCATGTCAATGGAGTCACCTCTCCGGGTTCGCAGGTATCAATGGGCGTCCCCCAAGGATCGATTCTCGGGCCTTTCTTATTTCTAATTTACATAAATGACCTCCCATTCTTTGTCAACGAAGTTCATGAGATGGTATTGTTTGCTGATGACACTTCACTTCTATTTAAAGTGAATAAGAATAACGTATTATTGGACGATATAAACAATTCTATCTCTCGTATAGTTAACTGGTTTAATGTAAATAACTTACTGCTTAACGAGAATAAAACAAAATGTATTCGATTTACAACTACTAGCGTAAAGCGAGATATTGGTAACCTGAAAATAAAGGACAGTGAACTAAACTTTGTTGACAAAACTGTTTTTCTAGGCATAACAATAGATAGTAAACTCCAATGGGGCCCACACATAGATACTCTTTCGAATAGGCTGAGCTCTGCGGCATATGCAGTAAAGAAAATCCGACAGTTTACTGATAAGGACACGGCAAAAATTGTTTATCATAGCTACTTTCACAGCGTTATGTCGTACGGTATTCTACTGTGGGGTGCTGCTGCAGAGGTTCAATCCATATTTGTGCTGCAGAAGCGGGCTGTTCGGGGTATTTGTTGTGTTTCTCCGAGGGAGTCGGTACGGAATAAGTTTAAGGAATTAAATATTATGACACTATCTGGTCAATATATTCTTGAAGCCTTGTTGTATGTCCAAAAAAATATAAACGATTTTAAAACAAATGGTGACTTTCACCAGTATAATACGCGAAATAGAACTAATTTGAGTGTAAGACCAACCAGGCTCCAAAAGATAAACCACTCCTTATATGGAAATTGTATTCGTTTTTACAACAAACTCCCAAGCGAAATTAGAGTATTATCACTAAATAAATTCAAAGCCCTCGTTAAACGAAAATTAATCAACAAAGCTTTTTATAAATTTGAGGACTACTTAAATGATCCTAATCCTTGGGATTGAATTGCTCCAGTTCAAACAATTTGTATGACAATACTTGGCGATTAAAAAGAGTGGCGGAAAGTTACTTGCCAGTTCTTCTTACCCGCTCTACGCCCTTGACTTGCGAACTGGTAGTAAATGTAAATTTACGATTAATTTAACTTGACGATTCAAAAGTGTACTTGGTTACCCACTTGAATAAAGATATTTTGAGTTTGAATACATATTTTTTTTTATATCTAGTGTAAAAAAAAATTAAAAATAATATTTGCATTTTGCATATAAAATATATTGAACATCAACACATAGAACAACATTTTAAAAGACTTATTTATTACGATTTGCAATCTAAAGGCAAAGTTATTGATACAAAATATCGCTGCAAAGTTGAAGTAGATCGTAAATTAAAGTCATAATAAATATTCAGTATAACATGAATAGTTAACCAGAAGGTGCAGTTAAGTTCACAGCAATTTTAACTTGAACCATTGTTTCACTTCCCTACTTTTTATTATTGAGTAATTTCGCAAGCTTAATTCTTGGTTATTAATACATCTGACCAGTAAAATTCTCACCATTCATTAGTAGTTCTTTTCGTGTTAATGATAAAAGGAATTACGGTCGTGCTATATAAAAAATATGTGCTAAAGTATTTTCAACTCTCTAAATAATTTTGTTTGTATATAAATGTTTATTATTTCGTTTCATTTACCTATGAAAAGTAGCCAGTTTTGGCATTATTCGTGACGTCCCAATTCCATGAGTTTTAATTAATAGAGACTGTCATTTGAATTTGGTAGCTTTGTTTCTTAAATTGGTATAAAATTACCAAATATAACCAACATATTTCGTGTTGTTCCCACGAGAATGTAAGTTCGTGCTCCTATTTCACCATGCCTCCTGCTGATAGAGGACAAGTCTTTGTTTTTAATTTATGTTATTATTATTAATTACTTAAGATGTCATGTGGAACATGGTGTAATGGTTGCAGCTCCTTACAAAACTATGTGTAAAAAAAACATGGCGATTAAAAAGAGTGGCGGAGAGTTTATTGCCAGTTCTTCTCTTCCGTTCTACGCCCTTGATTTGAGAACTGGCAGTAAATGTAAAATTAGAAGCATTAATATGTATTTCTTTACTGACGAATCACAAGTGTACATTGAGTTACCTACGTGAATAAATGAGTTTTGAATTTTGAATTTTACAGTTTAATGGTAAGTTAAATAATTGATTATGTTTATATGACATACAAATTATTAATTTTGTACTCAGCAGAATTGACTGATTCGAAACAAGAAACAATTAAAAAGATCTAAACAAGTAAGATAACGATTTAATAAGTTCATCATGGTAATATAGTACAAAGTTCATATATGATGAACTTATCCGAAGTTCAAAAAAATCTATACTTTTTAAATCAGTCTTTAAACCATAAAAAAATATTGTTCTTCTCTTAGTAAAAAACAATAAAAGTTAAATTACCAACAGACATTTAATGGATGACTTTGAATACTAAGTATAAACACGTTCGTAACGGCCAATATTCTGTTCACAGAAAAGGAATAATTCAAAAGCTGTCTGTTTCATATGAATGAATGTCCTGAGAATGGACATTACGAATTCCTTACACAAAGTCCATCGTCAAAATTTTATGTATTTTTTATTGCGTAGTTGAACTTAACGCCAAGTGCAGGTGAATTATTTAAATGCATTTATGATGCTTACTAGTTATCTAAGTAAAAAATGCA